TGTTTTGTTAAAAATGCAATACAACTGTCTGTTTGATCCTGACACGATAAATAAATACCCGTATATATTCCAGCCAGTGTGTACTTTCCACGTTGGACAGCCACCGAGACTCATCAATGGTGGGGTACACGATCTCCTTCAGCTTGCGCAGGGACTCTCGCATCACGTGGATGTTGGGGATTTCCAAGAAGACCAACTCCACATTGGGGTAGGCCCCTTCGCTTTCGTACCCACCCCCTTTGGCCTGGAAGCAAAATCAGGTCAGGATTTAACATTAGGAAATACACACAGAGAGAAAGAGAGTAATACACTTTCCCCAAAAACTCTTCCCTACGAATTCTACCTTATTTGTGTCTGCGACGCTGTTCTGCCTGGCGTCGAAGATGAACAGTTTGTGAGACTGAGCGTTGGCATCCATGATGGTCTGCAAGTACTTCTCGTCTTCCTTGCAGCGCTTGTCGTTCGGGCCGACCAGAGGTTGGCTGCAGCGCGTGACCGTGGCCTGGCTTTCGGGGTGGATCCAAGACAACACCTGCGTTCAAAAAAGGCATGCTCATGAGGGGTATTGGGGGGTGGGATTCTTAAAAAACATGATTGGGAACATGAAAACAGCTCGGCACCTGGCCCAGCTGCAGAAATTAATGAATGACCAGCAGATCCCTGTTCAAAGTGTAGTTTCCCATAAAAATGTCCCTAAAGGGTGTGGGGATGATGACATGCTTTCTGAATTGTTACCAGAGTTCCCATGATCGGGAACTTGAAAACAGCTCGGCACCTGGCCCAGCTGCAGAAATTAATGCATGACCAGGAGATCCCTGTTCAAAGTGTAGTTTCCCATGAGAATGTCCCTGAAGGGTGTGGGGATGATGGTGCACTCCTTGAATTGCTACCAGAGTTTTCACGATAGGGAACATGGAAACAGCTCGGCACCTGGCCCAACTGCAGAAATTATTGAGCAAATAGATAGACGGGAGGAGATCAGTCAAAACAGGAGAGCCGAACAGTGGCTTCAGCGTTCTGCCAGGCTCCGAGAGAAAAAGATAAGACATTCTCACCTAATGCGAAACCAATTTCTGAGTGCTACAGACATAGCTAACAAGGAGATAAAAGTCCCAAGTACAGGATATGTAGTCAAATGAAGCATCGTTTGGAATCAAAACAAGATCTCGTCCTTGTTCATGGAAGTTTTGTTTGGAAAATTCATGTTTTAAGTGTCTTTGTTTCATTGTTTTAATTCTTGGATTTTATGCTTCTATATTCATGCCTTGGATTCATGTTCCCTGATTTCTTGCATTTTATTTGGGAAGTTTTGACTTTGTTTTTATGGACCTTGCTGGACTATTACCCTGGACTACTTTGTTCCTGCTTATCTTCCTACTTAATTGGATTTGCCTATTTCTTTAAAGTGCTTTTTTACCTTACTCCTTTTTAATTATCTTCAATAAAAGGGTTGTTTTCCATCCAACGGTGTCGTATTTAAAGTCAGAGGCTTTTCCTGTCCTGGACTGCAACATGGTTCTTTGAACCCAAGGCGGTGAGTGTGGGCCATGGGCAGGACTGTTACTGCACCCTGGGCCTGTCCCATGGGGACAGTGATGATGACCTTAAGAAGGTCTATCGGAAGCAGGCGCTGAGCTACTACCCGGACAAGAACAAAGACTTCCACGTTGAGGAGTGGTTCAAAGAGATCGTCGAGGCCTACGATGTGCTCAGTGACCCCAAGAAACGCGAAATCTTCGACAAGTTTGGCAAGGAAGGACTTGAGGGAGGTGGTCCCAGCTACAGTGGAGGCGGTCCAAATGGCACTTCATTCAACAACACATTTCATGGAGATAATAATAACAATAATAATAATAATAATAATAATAATAATAATAATCTTTATTTATACCCCGCCACCATCTTGTTGAGGGGGACTCCGGGCGGCTAACATGAGGCCAAGCCCAAAAATACAATACAGCAAAATAAAATACAAAATGCAAACAA